ATACATACAACGAGAATATCAAACGATAATAATCAATCGATGATCCCGTGAGACCCAAGGAAATGAATTCGAAAGATTTTGATGAGACAGGGATTGTGTATGATCAAACTCCATATAACAGAGCTCAAACTACAGAACTCTCCCATTTTCGGAATTGGACATTTGACTCCGAAATAAAACTTTCTTAGACTTAAAGTAGAACTGAAGCTGTCATTGGCGGAATGCGAGTAATCAAATAGGATCACTAGTTTGAACTTCAAAACTGAGACCCCGAATTTCAACTAAGAAGACTGTTCCGGGAACACAACAATGATGTAATATGATGCGACTAAAATGGATTTTCAAACAAACATATTCTTTCCAGTGGTGCATGGTATATTCTGCAGAGTGGTGCTGTCACAAGTTCTGCCTGCTGCATTCCTCCAACAAAGTTTCAGAAAAAAAAACAAAAGAAACGGGGTCGGCTAATGTAAGACCAACTCCCACTCCCAATGACAAGCTTAGTTGTTCTCTCGTTGAGCACCAACAATGAATGAAAGAGAAAACAAACACAGTTGATGTTAACTTTTAATATCTTATATAGAAAAATACTTCATATTCAATTCTCAAGATCTATCCGTATTGAACAATCGTTTGAGGAGGGTTTTTCCATTCGAAGGGAACTTGTATTGGATAGTAGATGTAGCCCATCCAATAGGCAACACGACTTTGCTCAGTTTCTAACAAAGAAGATCAGTGAAGATTAAATTATTGAAAAACCTCAAATATCACTGGACGAAAACGTTTATTAAGACAGTTCTGTCCGAAGAATTCCACGTGCATCATCCTTATTAAATTCAAGTTTATACTAATAATCATTTCAGTAGATGATTCAATCTCATGGATATTTACAAAAGAAGGAGAAAAACAGACAACAACATGTTGAGCCTGAAAAAAAAAACCAGAAAGAATGATATGATAAATATAGCTTATCCTACCTTATTGAACAAACTCTGTGATGATGAAACAATATTCTCCTCGCACAGATGTTCATTCGTGTCTATTATAGGTATGGGATTATCCCTTTTCTGGTTGTGTCTGGAGGATGTCATACACTGTTATTTAAATGAAGAACATATCTAGAAGCAATACCTCAGATTTTTCATAAGATGTTTGAACTCGTTTTGTTCTTGAAGTGTAGTTTCATAGTGAACAACAAGTAGGACTGTAAAAGATGCGATAGAGAAAATAACAACTTAATTCATTTACACTCGTCAGGAATATGAAAAGTAGATGGCACGTTCCTTCTGGCCGGTCTCACAAAAGGAGGTTTAAGGCTTGTTGCGCTTGAAACTGTGCATGAATGTTCTGTATTTTCGCCTCAAAATATGCATACATAGTTTACTTGGTGTTGTAGAACCTACCGAACTTGTCAGTTTTACAGAGCAGCGATGCGTCGAATATTTTTTTTAAAGAATAAAGAGTATCAATTCTATTCATTGTTTGCAGCAAGCCTATGAACTCTTTCAAGTTCTTCCTGGGGAATTTTTTACATAACAGCTCGAAAGGGTTATAATCTCTTTGCATCATCTGTAACAAATTTTCTCAACAGAAAGGCGGTTTGAGTTAGAACCATTATGGAATCACTGCTCATTCCATACGAGCAAGCCACGTATTCCCAATTTTTCATAGAGCCATAAGCTTTCATATTCAAATGCCCAGATAAGATTTCCATAGACTCTACCGTTAAATCACAGAGTCTGAAAATTGAGAATCGGCATGAGAAGGGAGTCATCGAAGGAAATTACTCATAGATGTCCGAAACTTCAAACTCAACATGAGATAAGTTATATTTTACTCCAAACTTGATGGGAATCGACAAACCAGGTATGTGAAGAAGCTCATCAGACTGAAAACCCTACATGCAGAAACCAATTCATCAAACATCAAACCTCATTTTCGTCATCAGAGTCTATTTCTATAGTTACGTTCTGATAGTTGTTTCTGAAATCATGCTTGTTCTTATCCATACCCGAATACACACGACAATTAAAATCTGAAAAAATAAGAAAGTTGATAAATGACCACAGCCGAGCAATCGAACCAACGTTGGAGAGCTACCAATAGTTATGATGTTAAGTTGCTCACTTCTCAAACCCGAAACATGGTGGCGTTCTAATGTTATCTATCTGATTAATGCCAGGTGGTGAGCGTTGTTGTTACTCCTTATTCTTCTTTTCTCCTCAGATTATCTAACAATATGTGACGCCAACACTGGAAGTTGTGAGCTTCAGTTTTGAACCTGTGGACTCGCACGGCCATCAACTTATAACGATGAGAAAAATGAAAAGCGAGCGTGTAACTACCGCTAAGAATAAAATGAAAGAAGAAAATGAAGTGACTCACGACACTGCACGACCAGTAACTTGGATCGTACAATTCGGAATGAAAAACGAGACAATCAGGCTCACGCACTAATTTGAACAGTAATAAGTAACAGGAAAAAACGACCGCCAAATATATTGAACCATTATAAATTGGTTTGCAGGCCAAAATGGATAGGGAAAACTTGTGATTCAACCCCCATAATTCAATGATATAGAAAAACCTTTTTATTAAATTTCTTATTAAGATGATGAGACGAATCGTTGTCGGTAAGCAGACTGTTAATATGAGAATAAATAAGAGATACATCTATTGTATGGAAATGCATGAAACAGAACAATAATGAATCCCATAAAGCATGGCAGTTCCGGAAGCACCAAACCTCGGAATTCTACGGTTACAAGTTAATGAAGCCCATTAAACAATCAGTAGTTGAAATATGATTTTCATATAATGTAGAAAATAAATATCAATGAAATAGTTCTAAAATACAGAGAAAAGTGAGAAGTGAGGTATGAATAGTGGAGAATTTGTACATATTGCCCCATGAAACGACATGGAAAATAATGGGTTGGGAAAATAATTCAGAAGATGTCCACATCTTAACCAGTTTGATTGGGATGATAAAGCTACAGTTTTAGTAGAAAAATTGTTGTGACACATTTTTGAAAAATGTCGTAATTCAAAAGGATCAGGTTAAACAGGAGGAAGAACCAATGGTTCACGAGCCTCCTTTCTCATTTTCTGCAAACGATTTGAAGGGGGGAAGAAATGTCGAATACAATATTCAATTAAGTAAGCAAGAGCTATATAAGCTCCAGTCAATACACAGAGAATTACGAGATACTCCAAAACCTGGAAAATGAAAAGATAAAACAGAATGGTTGTGTTCTTTCTTACCTTGATAGGGAAAATGGAAGCAAGAACAACATGCGAGCACAAAGGAACCTATAAAAGTCTTATTAAACTCTGATAAAACCGAAACTATTACGTTCTCTAATTCAGTAATAGAACATCCGAGGTCATTTGTGAAACTGGTGGTATTCGTCAATCCATTCGCAGAGTTTAAGGCATCAGGCCAATATCTTTTAAGATTAATGGCACTCAATCTTCGAGCAACGAACAAACAAGGTAAAACGGTGAAGACAATCATGTCGACAATACAGATCTGAAAAAAGAATGATTTATACGTTAATTTAAGTTTTAAATTTACCAGAACTTTAATAAGTTTATTGAATCTGCTCTCATCCAGAAGAAGAACAAAGAAGGAAGAAGTGGCCAGGAGAGCGCACATGGCTCCAACTGTGATCCAGAGATTTTTCTTGTACTGGAAATAAACATCAATAGATTGAGAGGATTTCATGAAAACTAGCTTACATCTACAAGAACACGGAGAACAAAACGAATCGAGTCAAGCTCACTGATGTTCTCTCTAGATGCAGATCCAACGGTTTCGATCTATACAAAAAATATTTGAATAGGTTAACTAATAACTGTCTCACCTGATTGACCATGTTCTCATAAGCACCGAAGGTCCTGATAAAGGAATTCATGAAGTACATGTGAATTAAAGCACAAATCATTAGAGTGACAAGTTTAAGAATGTGTCCTTTTCGTACCTAAAAGTAAATTGAACAAAGTAGGGCGATGGCTAAAACTTACAGCGTCACGGAAACAAGCGTTGAAAATATAAGTTTTAGTCGTAAACGGTTTCTCATCTTCTTCCCATAGTTTATCTTCTTCAGTTTTAACTGATATAACGTCGATGTCTTTAGTAGTCAACGGCTTCTTGAGCATTTTGAAGCTATAAGTAATTAAGATGTTAATACAGAAAAGTTGGTGAAGATGATGGAAAAAAGACAAACAATATGATAAAAGAACGATACTGACAAAGCAATTGATATGAGGACATGTGTTAGGAGCCATCCAATTATTTTCTTGTGGGAACAGTCACGAGGAACTTATACTCTCATGATGACTTTTTCAGAAGCTCAAGAGAATCGTAGGTGAAAACGTGATATTGTCTGCTTCAGATATTATCAGATCTTCACCCAAAATTCATCGGAAGAACAAGAACAACAATCACGAATCTGGACAGGCGCAAAACTACTGGAGTTTTGTTTTTTCAGCTGTTCAAAGAAGCAAATGAAAGCTGGAAGAAGGATATTCTCAAATTTGGAATTATACCAGATAGGAAAATGTGTTCCAGCAGAACAGTCGAAGCAATACTGAAAGTGTTCGGTCAAGGCCATGGCTAAATATGTTCGTCAGGTTTAAGTAAGCTGTAGAGGGGAATTGAATAAGATTCCGTGTCGAAAGATAAGAAATTAAATGCAAAAAAAACTGTAACGAATGTGGAATTGGTGATTTCGCAAATGCGAAAGCATTAGACACTTCTCAACTTTTGGAAAGTTCAAATTACCAAAGATTGAAGCCGTCCAAACAAAGTAAAAACCCAATTCAATTTTCCTTTTCAACTACTTCATAAAGGCAAAAAGAGAAAGAGCAATGATCGAAACAAAACGTTGGAAAGGAAATGAAAAAATTATCAACTGAGCTCGTTATTATTGAGGAAAGCCACTGACCGCCGCAGTTCAGCGATCGAAAGAGTATTCCTTGGGCAAACGTTAGTCTTGTGCTCGGCAGTGCTTGGCTTTTTTGCCTCACCAACAAGACCCATGAAACATGAAACAAACAAACACTCAGCACAAACACACAGCCTCATCCAAAAATGGCCAAAACCTTCGTAAATCGACGTTAGGAACGGCTTCGAAACAAGTCAAACATCCAGACTGCCATTTCACGAAATGAGGTCATACTCGAGGAAAAATGAATCGAAGTCGTCAGTCCAAGGGCAAATCTACACTGTATTTTCGACAAAGCACACCATATAGCTATTATATGATATGGTAAAGAAAATATATAAAACTTTGAAATGGAATGGTCAAGGTAGAACATGTAAGGATTTGACAATCTGCGTCCAAAGAAAGGCGACGTATAAAACAGAAAAGCGATTGAAATGTCTAATCCTATGAAAAAAATAATACTAGTGAAACCTATTTGGCATTTTTTCGGGGAGAAACGGATCGAATCGGAAGAGCCGATGTCAGAAATAATTTAGAATAGAAATTGAATATGATTTCTCGAGTGCAGAGTTGCGTCACATGTTGAACACACTAATCATAGCTCGCATTTGATCAAAAATATTTACGAAAAACATCGGGAGACGAGTGTCTCTTAACTAATTTCCAATTCACCAAAGGTCTTTGATCTGGCATTTTTTTGAATAAAAAAAATTTAAAACAAAACGTTTAAACTGAATGACGTTTGAATTCATTCAGCTGTATCTTTCAAACGAGACATCACTCAATCAACGCTGAAACAACGTGTTTCAATGAAAAATTGGGAATTACTATACTGCCAACTCAACATTTCACTAAAAAAGTAAACAAAATTCTAGATGCCTGAAGTGCTGCGGTTCGAAAAAAACGTTAGATTCGACCTGTGGGATAGGGCGTGCTGACCAGTGTCAGGCATTGAAACACCAGACAACCAGACACTTCGCCCAGCAGACACATAGAGTAGTCGGCACAAAAGTGAAAGTTAGAAAACAAGCCTTGCAAATGATGAAACTATAAAAGTGTTCATATTAAGACTTACAGATGAAATTGCAGAACCGTTAGTTATTTGTGACTACTAGTCAGCATAAATGAGAGCTGAGCTTGTTGAAATAGATAAGTTCCTTTGTCACTATTGTCTCTCATCACAGCCATATAACCCGCAATCTTTCTGCAGGGCAAAACAGCTAATGACGGGGCGCACAGTTTTTCCAGAATGTCGTCTAGGTCTTTGACGATTTCTTTAATTTCACCTCGAATCTTTGAACTTTTCCCATGACACCAATGAGTTTTTCAACCTGTCTTATGAACGAATGAGTTAAAAATCTCCGGGTTTTCCACTTAGATGAGAATTGAAATAGTATTTAGTCACAAATTCTTCATTATCATAACAGTTCAAGATCACAGAAAACGAATAATTGCAAAACTGAGAAATCGAGA